GGACGTTGTTCACCTCAACTGATGGAGTGTTAGGGCGTTGGAAGGAAGACTTTGAGGAACTCCTGAACCCGACAACTCCGCCCTCTATGTTAGAGGCAGAGCTGGAGTATGAAGGGGGATCAACACCAATCTCCCGGGGGGAGGTCACTGAGGTCGTCAATCAACTCCACAGTGGCAAAGCCCCGGGGGTGGATGAGATCCGCCCAGAAATGCTGAAGGCTTTGGGTGTTGAGGGACTGTCATGGTTGACACGTCTCATCAACGTTGCGTGGAAGTCGGAAACAGTACCGAAGGAGTGACAGACCGGGGTGGTGGTTCCCCGGGGGGATCAGACGGTGTGCGACAATTACAGAGTCATCGGAACGACGGATCAGCTTTTTACTCTCGCAAGGATCCTGGAGGGGGCCTGGGAGTATGCTTATCCGGTCTACATGTGTTTGTAGACTTGGAGAAGGCGTATGACCGAGTTCCCAGGGAGTTACTGTGGGAGGTGCTGCAGGAGTATGGGGTGAGGGGGTCTCTACTCAGGGCCATCCAATCTCTGTACTCCCAAAGCGAGAGCTGTGTCCGGGTCCTCGGCAGTAAGTCGGACCCATTTCCGGTGAGGGTTGGCCTCCGCCAGGGCTGCGCTTTGTCACCAATCCTGTTTGTAATATACATGGATAGGATTTCGAGGCGTAGTCGTGGGGGAGGGGGTCTGTAGTTCGGTGGACTAAGGATTGCACCACTGCTTTTTGCAGATGATGTGGTTCTAATGGCTTCATCGGTCTGCGACCTTCAGCACTCACTGGATCGGTTCGCAACCGAGTCTGAAGCGGCTGGGATGAGGATCAGCACCTCCAAATCTGAGGCCATGGTTCTCAGCAGGAAACCGATGGACTGTCCACTCCAAGTAGGGAATGAGTCCTTACCCCAAGTGAAGGAGTTCAAGTATCTCGGGGTCTTGTTCTCGAGTGAGGGAACAATGGAGCGTGAGATGGGCCGGAGCATCGGAGCAGCGGGAGCGGTACTGCAGTCGCTTTACCGCACCGTTGTGACGAAAAGAGAGCTGAGCCAGAAGGCAAAGCTCTCTGTTACCGGGCCATTCTCGTTCCTACCCTCACCTATGGTCATGAAGGATGGGAGGATCATGACCGAAAGAACGAGATCGCGGATACAAGCGGCCGAGATGGGTTTTCTCCGCAGGGCGGCTGGCGTCTCCCTTAGGGATAAGGTGAGAAGTTCAGTCATCCGGGAGGGACTCAGAGTTGAACCACTCCTCCTTCGCGTCAAAAGGAGCCAGTTGAGGTGGTTCGGGCACCTAGTAAGGATGCCACCTGGGCGTCTCCCTAGGGAGGTGTTCCAGGCACGTCCAGCTGGGAAGAGACCAAGGGGTAGACCTAGGACCAGGTGGAGGGATTATATCTCTTCGCTGGCCTGGGAGCACCTTGGGATCCCCCAGTCAGAGCTGGTTGATGTGGCCAGGGAAAAGAAAGTGTGGGGTTCTCTGCTGGAACTGCTACCCCCGGGACCCGACCACGGATAAGCGGGAGAAGATGGATGGATGGATGGATGGTTTACATTGCTTTCTATTTATTTGTTCCTTCTTATTTCTTTTCATCGTTATGGGGTTGAATTATGATTTCAGCCCTGGAAATTGCCTTGCAATATTTGTATTGGTGTATATGAGTGCATTTGTGTACTTATACACCTGAACATATGGTGCTTTTCCTTTTCAAAAAAGATAGTTGAAACTGCTCCTGACATGTGCAGAAAATGACCCTATATCTAGTTTTCTTATATGCATTTATTTTCTTCTTGCCCTAACTTTTATTTCTTTTTTTCTCCAGTTTTCTTTATTTCTTTGTACTCCTTAATTTCTATACATTTTTGACGCAATAATGCCAATGTTGTATTCGGATGATTCACGGCAATCAGAGACAGGCTCTGGATATATCTGAGACCTGTGATATATTGATGAAAAACAGTATAATAGGGGACCTTTAATGTTAAGTAGTCACATGGGCAAACAGTTTAGCAGCAAGGAAGCAGAACAGTTCAGAGTTCAAATGTCTGCAGGAAAGTAAGAGAATGACTGCCTCAGCAACACAACTTGACATAGCCACATTTTAGAGAGATTAACCCTGAGAGGTCACGGCTACAGTGTTTAAATCCAATAAATGGTTCATTTTTAAGCAATGCATTTTCCTGTTTTTGTGATTCTCAATTGTAAAGAAAATATTGTTGCTTCTACTAAAGTAAAAATAACCAGAAACAGCCGATCCAGAGTTTACACCCTTTTCCTTAACAATACAAATGATATCTTTCCAAAGTCAAGAGAGCATGGATTTATTCAAAACAAAAACTATTGATTTTTAATTTTTGACATTCCAAGTTTCTAAAAATATATTATAAAAAAGAAATCCTCAAAATAAAAACTCATACATCTAGCAAGCGACTGATTGCAATCGATACTGCTCACACAGATGAAACACACAAGCACACACACTGCAAACATCTACAGCATGACACGATGATGTGAAAGAGCATCTCAGCAGACCAATACACACAAGGTAAAACAATTCACCTTCCACATCATCAGTTAACCTGCATTCTCTGTGATCTTCCCTGGCCTGCTTGGACCATCAGCTAAGTATCTACCTCGTTACACAATTCGCCTTCCCCCCTAAAAAACTCTACACTTAAACCTGCCCCACACACCAAACTCTGAACTGAACTCTTCAGTCACAACCCGATCTGTACGGGAAAACCCGATCAGTTCTACGCATGTGAGAATACGCCGCTACTTCCAGTGTTCGAATTACCCATTTGCTTTCGGGGGAGCCCTATTTTTCAGTGCACATCCTGCTACTAAATATGTCACACGCACGCTCTGTTGACTGGCGTACCTTCTGAAAGCTCAAGAAAACATTGTCCACTTCCTGTCATGTCACATTGCACGTAAATAATCATGTAGGCCCGCCCATGAACTGTGCTCTCATCTATTGTGATACTAATTAGTGAGCCCATCTCTTTTACGTTGGAAACAAATGTAGCTCTCATTTCCTCGGCGATATGCCTGATTATTTCATTATTTGAGTTTTTGTAGGAACATTACAGCAGGTAGCTTTCTGTAGGACATTTCTTCTTTGGCAATCATATAGGCAGACCTGAAAGATGTATATGTTTCCTGCATTAGATCAGCATTGATTGCCAATACCTTGTTTGGTAGGACATCTTTTTTTCTCATCTCCGAAATCTCAATCGCTTTTTCGTGTGCCTGGCTCTTATGGTGCTTATAAATCTTTTTCCGCAGGTTATTCTGTTGATCACTGCTGACTTTTCCCTGAATCCATTCTTGTGAAAGGTGCACTCAGGGTGGATTTTTCTGCGAGCGGCAGGGAGATCAATATACTTTTTGCCTCTTTGCAATTTCAAATACCGTGCCGGCATCGCCGCCGTAACCATAGCAACGTAAGTAGCGTAAGGAATGCAGCGCCGCCACGTACAGATGGCAACACCCAGAAATATTCACAAATATAAAACAAATATTCAGAAACTGTAATGAACAATGACTATTATTTATTTCAAGAACTTTTATTTACAGAAACTCAACATTTCTAACCTGTGTGACACAAATATGCACGATTTCTTTGAGCCAAGCTCCCCCTGACTCCCCCCCATTTCGAACAGTGGCTACTTCCCATGATGCTTACTGAAGTATGTCGAAGTACTGCAAAAATATTTAATAATAATTTGTTAAAAAATGGAAAATAAACAGTTGTCCTTATTTATTTGAGACTATTTATTAATTTTCAGTTATTAGTCACATCTCACAGAAAATCCCCCGAATATATACCATGTTATCCATAATAGTGATTTCTCCCACACTACCTGAAGGTAGCAGGAGGTATCACTAAGTAGTTATTTTAATTATATGTAAAAAAGGAAACGAATTCAAAGCATATATAATAATACCTTATATATAATATCTCATTGTACACCCTGCAGTTGGATTTCGTTTTCAAGTCCAAATCTAAAAAATTCTAGAATCCGAAAAAAGTCCAAAATCCGGGAAAAATTAAATAAAAAGTATAAATTCTGAGAAGAAGTCTAAATAAATTTAAAAAAGTCGCACTCATATTCTAGTTAAAAAAAAACGAAATTTTACAGAAAATCCCCCAAATTCCCATGTTTTTCCCGTGATTTCTCCCACGCTCCCTGAAGGTAGCGGGAGGGATCCCTGAGTAGTGAGTTTTTTTAAATTGTATTTAAAATAGGAAACGAATTAAAAGCATATATAATAAAACCTTTTATATATATCTCATTTTACAAAATGCAGTGTGATTCTCTTTTCACGAGGATTACCTGAAAAAATAAAAATCTAAATTATAATACAAAAAGAGACTTTAAAACCTACTCCACAGTTTATACATCTAAGTTAATTCGGCTTGAAAATATTACGTTAATACACGCCAGCTTTACTGGTAATTACACGTTAACACCTCTGGAACCTGAGTGAGTGTAATGTGATGGTGTTATTCAGTTTGAAAAAGTGTTTTAACATGTTTTAATTAGTTTATTCCAGGCATGCCGAATGAAAGAGCAAATTGTGTTTGGTTGTACAATGTGTTAAAATATCTTCCATAAGGTGTTTTACATATAAAACAAGCAGGGAATCTTTAAACAGAGTTTTTACATTAAAATCACCAGATACTTATTCTTTTTCGAAATTCTGAAAAATCAAAAATTTGAGAAAAATTGCGTAATTCTGAAAAAGATTCAAAATTCCGAAAGTGAAAAAAAGCAAGAACTACATTTTCTTATTTTGGTAATATCCAAAAATAAATGCTCATGTGGCCCTAAACCTATTCCATACTCTTCTAGTTTAAAAAAAAAGTCACATTTAACAGAAAATCCCCCAAATTCCCACGTTTTCCCGTCATAGTGGTGGTTTCTCCCACGCCCCCTGAAGCGGCCGCGGGATCTATGCCTCCTCAGTGAAAGTGAAGCATGCAAAGATGGCGGAGCTGCAGATGCTGCTGGAGGAGGAGATTCCTGCGGGACGGAGGGCTCTTCTGGACAGTTTCACTAACCTGGAGAAAGTAGCCGAGTACTGCGAGACCAACTATGTTCAGGTACATGGTGGTACTTCAAATACACGTTTAAATGTGGAGTAAATACAGCAATAAGGGGGGAATGTGAGCAGGGAGTGGGCGGAGAGAGGCAGTGATGGAATGACAGCACCAGGATCCGTTAATAAAACCGTTATTTTTATAGTATTGCATATCAGGGAAGATCTCGCGATATTTCAGTACATTTATTAACACGTACTATACAGCCTAGAAGTGTAAATTAATTCGGCTTAAAAATATTCCACCAAAACATGTCTGGTTTCATGGAAATTCAACTTTCATAACTCTGAAAATCTGAAGGAAAAGTCAAAATTCTGAGAAAATGTCGAAGTTCTAAGAAAAAGTCAACATTTTGAGAAAAGTCATAATTCTGAAAAAAGTCATAATTCTAAGAAAAAAGTCAAAATTCTGAGAAAAAAAAGTCAAAATTCTGAGTAAAAAAAAAAAATCTAAATTCTAATACAAAAAGAGACGTTAAAACCTACTCCACAGTTTATACATCTAAGTTAATTCGGCTTGAAAAGATTCCGTCAATACACGCCTGCTTTACTGGTAATTACACATTAACACCTCTGGAACCTGAGTGAGTGTAATGTGATGGTGTTATTCAGTTTGAAAAAGTGCTTCAACATGTTTTAATTAGTTTATTCCAGGCATGCCGAATGAAAGAGCAAATTGTGTTTAGTTGTACAATGTGTTAAAATATCTTCCATTAGGTGTTTTACATATAAAACAAGCAGGGAATCTTTAAACAGAGTTTTTATAATGGGAGTCTGGTGTACCATTTTTCCTCCTGTATATCAGTATGTAGTGTCTCTACTTGAAAGAGTCCTCTCCTGCTGATGTTCAGGTGTATATCAGTATGTAGTGTCTCTGCTTTAAAGAGTCCTCTCCTGCTGATGTTCAGATGTATATCAGTATGTAGTGTCTCTGCTTTAAAGAGTCCTCTCCTGCTGATGTTCAGGAGTATATCAGTATGTAGTGTCTCTCCTTTAAAGAGTCCTCTCCTGCTGATGTTCAGGTGTATATCAGTATGTAGTGTCTCTACTTTAAAGAGTCCTCTCCTGCTGATGTTCAGGTGTATATCAGTATGTAGTGTCTCTCCTTTAAAGAGTCCTCTCCTGCTGATGTTCAGGTGTATATCAGTATGTAGTGTCTCTACTTTAAAGAGTCCTCTCCTGCTGATGTTCAGGTGTATAGCAGTATGTAGTGTCTCTACTTTAAAGAGTCCTCTCCTGCTGATGTTCAGATGTATATCAGTATGTAGTGTCTCTACTTTAAAGAGTCCTCTCCTGCTGATGTTCAGATGTATATCAGTATGTAGTGTCTCTGCTTTAAAGAGTCCTCTCCTGCTGATGTTCAGGAGTATATCAGTATGTAGTGTCTCTCCTTTAAAGAGTCCTCTCCTGCTGATGTTCAGGTGTATATCAGTATGTAGTGTCTCTACTTTAAAGAGTCCTCTCCTGCTGATGTTCAGGTGTATATCAGTATGTAGTGTCTCTCCTTTAAAGAGTCCTCTCCTGCTGATGTTCAGGTGTATATCAGTATGTAGTGTCTCTACTTTAAAGAGTCCTCTCCTGCTGATGTTCAGGTGTATAGCAGTATGTAGTGTCTCTACTTTAAAGAGTCCTCTCCTGCTGATGTTCAGATGTATATCAGTATGTAGTGTCTCTACTTTAAAGAGTCCTCTCCTGCTGATGTTCAGATGTATATCAGTATGTAGTGTCTCTACTTTAAAGAGTCCTCTCCTGCTGATGTTCAGGTGTATAGCAGTATGTAGTGTCTCTACTTTAAAGAGTCCTCTCCTGCTGATTTTGAGGTGTATATCAGTATGTAGTGTCTCTACTTTAAAGAGTCCTCTCCTGCTGATGTTCAGGTGTATATCAGTATGTAGTGTCTCTACTTTAAAGAGTCCTCTCCTGCTGATGTTCAGGTGTATATCGGTATGTAGTGTCTCTACTTTAAAGAGTCCTCTCCTGCTGATGTGCAGGTGTATATCAGTATGTAGTGTCTCTACTTTAAAGAGTCCTCTCCTGCTGATGTTCAGGTGTATATCAGTATGTAGTGTCTCTACTTTAAAGAGTCCTCTCCTGCTGATGTTCAGGTGTATATCAGTATGTAGTGTCTCTACTTTAAAGAGTCCTCTCCTGCTGATGTTCAGGTGTATATCAGTATGTAGTGTCTCTACTTTAAAGAGTCCTCAAAAATTAAAATAAACTATGTCCAAATATTTAGAAAAATAATAATGATGAGATGTGGTTAGAAGACGTAGTAAATGGTTGCTTGATTTCAGCTCATGTATCTTCTCATATTAAGCAAGATATCTGCGTACTGGCTGACATCCGTGTGTGTGTGTGTGTGTGTGTGTGTGTGTGTGTGTGTGTGTGTGTGTGTGTGTGTGTGTGTGTGTGTGTGTGTGTGTGTGTGTGTGTGTGTGTGTGTGTGTGTGTGTGTGTGTGTGTGTGTGTGTGTGTGTGTGTGTGTGTGTGTGTGTGTGTGTGTGTGTGTGTGTGTGTGTGTGTGTGTGTGTGTGTGTGTGTGTGTGTGTGTGTGTGTGTGTGTGTGTGTGTGTGTGTGTGTGTGTGTGTGTGTGTGTGTGTGGGCAGGCCATGCTGCGACGGACAACTGTTCCTCCTCAGTTGGCTTCAATACACACCTGTTCATCGCCAGGTTTTATCTTAGTCATATTTATGCATTTTCTCTCAACAACACACTCACAGTCTGCATCTCTGAAGTCTCTACATGGCCGTAGAATAACATATAAATATTATTATTATTTCTTTGCATTTGTCTTTTTTTTGGGCTAAAACTCTTTAATTAATGTGACCTTTTAGAAAGAAACCCTGTAGCTCTAATCCAAATATACAAATATTTCTCACGCCTCAGTGACGCCGAATATTATGACTTTTATGTAATCTGGTTAGCTGGCCGGCTCTGTTGTGATTGGTCAACCAGTTTAGAGATGTCCCGCCACTTAGCCTATCACGTAAAATGTGCTAGCCAATAGGAGAGCGAGTGTTCCCTAGTGATGTCACCATGTGCCGGAACATCCTTTTCCCATGAATTTGACATCTCAGGAGCATCATCATCATCCATCAGTCGATGCAATAAATTAATTGATGGGTGAGGTATTCATTTAAAAAAATGTATTGATCGTCGACTGGGTAATAAATTAAGATACGATATTTTAAATGTTTAACCTTCATCAATTCATTTCTCATTTACATTTTCTTTCTTAATTGTATCTTATTTATTGTAATTAGAATTTGATTTAATGCCAATTCGGTTTTTAGATTCAAGGAATTAAAAAAAATGGAAAATGGAAAAGTTAGCAAATATTAAACACAAAAAATATATTAATTTATTTTTAATAAGAAACTGAAATACAACAACAGAAAGGCAAATATCACTATTTACAAAAATAATAAAGAAATATGCAGTATTTTTCAATAAGTGCAACAATACAGATTATAAGGAAGTCCATGTCTTTCCTTTTTTACATTTTCCTCTAGGTTTCCCATGTCTCCTCTCTTCTCAAAAAAGCTCTTACTTCCAGCTCATTAGCTCTGTTCAGGCTAACGTTGTGCTAACAGGCTAACTGAGGATGGCCTACATAAATGTGCTCAGACGATGAGAGCGGTTACATAATCCCAGCGCTGAGCTGTTGATCTTGTTTTATGGGCTAAATATTTGGATGATTGACCCGTGTTCAGCCCCATGTAACCCCTGCTATCAGACTATCAGGATTTAAACTGTCTGGACTTATTTCAAGCTGCTCATCGTTATCATATTGACAACAGAATAGCTCTGTGAAGCACTGAGGCATGATGTCTTTAAAGAGGTCCTATTCTTCCCTTTGTGGTGTTCCCTCTCATCTAGTGTGTTTTATAGGTTTTTGTGCATGTAAATGGTCTGCAAAGGCCAACATCCCTGTGTTCCCCTTTAACGTTTTGTTCTGTGACATCAAATAAGTCAGTAAATACCCCACTGGTGGATTTAAAAACAGTGGTTGCTAACAAGTGTCTAAATGAGACGACTAAACGTCATCACACCCAACATTAGCCGCCTTTAGCTTAGCGGTGGTGACGTGAAGTCATGTGACCGTGCTTTACTTCCTTTATAGCCCAACATTAGCCGCCTTTAGCTTAGCGGTGGTGACGTGAAGTCATGTGACCGTGCTGTAGTTCCTTTATAGCCCAACATTAGCCTCCTTTAGCTTAGCGGTGGTGACGTGAAGTCATGTGACCGTGCTGTAGTTCCTTTATAGCCCAACATTAGCCTCCTTTAGCTTAGCGGTGGTGACGTGAAGTCATGTGACCGTGCTGTAGTTCCTTTATAGCCCAACATTAGCCACCTTTAGCTTAGCGGTGGTGACGTGAAGTCATGTGACCGTGCTGTAGTTCCTTTATAGCCCAACATTAGCCTCCTTTAGCTTAGCGGTGGTGACGTGAAGTCATGTGACCGTGCTGTAGTTCCTTTATAGCCCAACATTAGCCTCCTTTAGCTTAGCGGTGGTGACGTGAAGTCATGTGACCGTGCTGTAGTTCCTTTATAGCCCAACATTAGCCGCCTTTAGCTTAGCGGTGGTGACGTGAAGTCATGTGACCGTGCTGTAATTCCTTTATAGCCCAACATTAGCCACCTTTAGCTTAGCGGTGGTGACGTGAAGTCATGTGACCGTGCTGTAGTTCCTTTATAGCCCAACATTAGCCACCTTTAGCTTAGCGGTGGTGACGTGAAGTCATGTGACCGTGCTGTAGTTCCTTTATAGCCCAACATTAGCTTTTTTCTTCAGAAAAAAGTGGGGTTGATATGTGGAGATTATCCTGCTGAACTAAACGTGAAAGAATCATAAATGTTTGTTTGACTCAGAGATGATTTAGAGAAATGTGATAAGATGAGATCTGGTCCTGAACAGGTGTGTATTATATTACCACAGCATTAAAGCTGAGGAGGAGGAAGAGTTTCAGTTTCTGATGTGAAACAGAGAGACTCAGAAACAGCTGGTTCTGCTTATCTGTCAGCGGAGGGAGTTGTAATGTAACTGGACCTCCTGCTGCTTATTGGAAACACATGCAGGAGGCTTGGTGTGTGTGTGTGTGTGTGTGTGTGTGTGTGTGTGTGTGTGTGTGTGTGTGTGTGTGTGTGTGTGTGTGTGTGTGTGTGTGTGTGTGTGTGTGTGTGTGTGTGTGTGTGTGTGTGTGTGTGTGTGTGTGTGTGTGTGTGTGTGTGTGTGTGTGTGTGTGTGTGTGTGTGTGTGTGTGTGTGTGTGTGGTGTGTGTGTGTGTGTGTGTGTGTGTGTGTGTGTGTGTGTGTGTGTGTGTGTGTGTTGGGTTGGAAACCATAGTGATTGGCGTTTCTTCCTCCACCCTCAGAGTTGGTGCCAGGAACAGCTCCTTTCACGTTTCACAGCCAAAGAGAAACTGCTTCTAGATTCAAGGCGTTATCATCATCATCAGCTATAGATCTGAAGTATAGCCTCCTCCAACAGAGCAACAAATAAATGTGTTTTTAATTAGCCAATAAAACCCAGATATCTCGCATTTTCAGATTTTTTGTTGAAATATTATAATTTGTCTGTAGTATTTGACTCCACGCCTTCAGGCCGTTGTGAGCTCGTTGATTTTGTCGGATTGTTTTACATGTTTACGATAAATCAGACTAAAATAAGTGCAGTCATGTGACCGTTAGACCTGAATGTGTCTCCATTAAAGAAATAAAAAGAGGTCAGAGGAATCAGAGCGTGACTTCATGTAAATCTGATTAACGTACAGGAACATCAGACATTCAGCTGCAATTGGGAGGAAAACAGAAGTGTGTGTGTGTGTGTGTGTGTGTGTGTCTGTGTCTGTGTGTGTGTGTGTTTCCTCAGGCCAGAGGAGGCAACCCTCCAACTAGGTCACACTAACAGGACATCAGATGGCTGATAGGAGAGAGGAGAGGAAAGAAGACAGATTTGTTCTTCTGTATATTTCATATCAAAAAGCTCTTTATTGTTCTCATACTGCCTGAGCTGCTCTGATTGGTCAACTGCTAGGAGATGTCCCGCCCCTTAGCCTATCACGTACATACAATGTGTTGGAGCGCGAGTGTTACAGAGTGATGTTGATTATATTTTTAAACACATTTCGACTTTAACAGATATTGTGCCATATAGCGTGGAGCAGTGACGCGTCCTAAAACCCGGAAGTTAGCATTTCACCACTTCCTGTTCCTCGTCTCAGAGCCAATGGGATCTCTCCATAGGGTTTTGGCTATATCTGTAAATAAGGTCTGTGGTTGAGACACATGGAAGAGACGGATCACGTTTTGTTCTAGGACATTAAATCCATCAGCAGTGACCCCACTGGTGATTTCTGAAGAGTTGACGTGTCTGAAAAACGATGGTTGTTACCAAGTGGCTGAATAGGACTACAGAAGTTGAGGACGTTGTACGTCATTACGCCGAACACGTAAACACTCCTCTAAGTTAGTTTGCCCTGTTCTGCTTGAAAGCAAGTACCTGCCTCCTGCAGACTGTTCAAACAAACGCTTCAACTCGTACCATTTAGAATCTGTATGTTTGAATATGGATCTGAAGTTGGCGTGACGTTGAAGTCGTGCTGCTGGACTCGCCTGTAGTTCCTTTATAGCAGGGCCGGTTTTTGGCATAGGGGCCAGATCTGTACGTTCTGGACATTAGATTTATGATTAGAAAATGATAAAAGTAGGGTAGACATGTTGAGATGATCCGGCTGAACAAAACGTGACCCGTCTCTTCAATGTGTCTCAACCACAGACCTGATTTCCAGCTATTTTCCAAAACCCTATGGAGAAATTGCATTGCGTTTTTGGCGAAGGAACCAGAAGGAGTTTACTTCCGGGTTGTATGCGTCACTGTGGCTCTCTATTGCTAATTTCATCAAATGTATTGCAGTAGAAATATGAAGCAGTAAGTTCCCTGATTTAACACATTCAGAAAAGTGTTGGGGTTTAAAGGCGTGAGCACACTGTACCTGTTACAAAGACCTTGGTATCTGGCTTGATGATTGTCTTACTTTTAAACTTCAGGTCAATAATCTGCTTAAAAAGCTGAGGCTTAGACGAGGTTTCTTTTTCAGAAACAAGTCCTGTTTCTCTTTTGAAGCCAGGAAAAGGCTCTGTGACCTTTTGACCTGTGCTGGACTATGGTGATCTGATCTATATGAATGCACCTGTCCATTGCCTGATCAAGTTAGATGCTGCCTATCACAGTGCTCTGAGATGTGTTACTAACTGTAAAGCACTTACTCATCACTGTCCCCTGTATGCCAAGGCAGGTCTGCCTTCACTAACGGCCCGTCCACACAGCAGCGTTAAAAAATCTTGGAACGCTTCTGCCCATTCACTTTGAATGGGGTGACGTCACTTTGCCTCACTTTTCGCCGAACTGCATTGTGGGAAGCAGAGCGGAGATTTTCAGGATTTTCAGGATTCAAAAGTTGAGCAATGTTCAACTTTTGAAGCTGAGGTGGAAGCGTCAGCCAATCAAATCCCGTGTATGCAAATCTGACAGTTCAAGCGCTAGCCAATCAAACGGCGTGTATGCTGGGAGTGACATACCGCAGGTCATTTCCTCATATTCCAAAACATGGAGGAGAAATTAGCGGTAGGGAATCACCCGGTGCTTTATGACCAGTCCCTATTTACCTACCGGGATACAAACCGGAGGAGCCAGGCATGGAGGGAGGTGGCAGAGACAGTGGTATGTTTTCGCCTGTTTGGGGAGTTTATATCCAGTTTACTTCGGGCTTTTTTGCTTCGTATGTCGGGGGGCGGGAGATTCATGTGATTGGTTGTTGGTGCCTTGCTCGCAAAAAATCCCCAAGCTTCAGATACGCCCACCTCCAAGATTTTTTTAACGCTGCTGTGTGGACGGGCCGTTACTGTACGGAGGCTCAGTCATTGGTACATGTTCATCTATAAAGCCATGCTGGGTAAACTACCTTCTTATATCTGCTCTCTGATCTCACAGAGAGTGGCAAGTAGCTATTGCTTGAGATCCCAGGATGTGTTTTTATTACATGTGCCAAGTGCTAGGACTGTTTTAGGTACTAAAGCTTTTATGTGCGCTGCTCCTCTAGCTTGGAACACTATGCAACACACATTGAAACTGAGCATTTTGATTCCCTTGCATCGTTTTAAAGCACGGCTGGATGAAATGTTATTAGATACCTGTCACTGTGAACAGGTTGCTAATGTATACCCCTGTAATTATGTTGTGATGTCCTTTTTGTTTTCTGTTGTTTTTATGTGTAACTAATGTACCGCAGGTCTCCCTTGAAAAAGAGATCGTTGATCTCAATGGGATTCACCTGGTTAAATAAAGGCTACAAACTGTGTGTGTGTGTGTGTGTGTGTGTGTGTGTGTGTGTGTGTGTGTGTGTGTGTGTGTGTGTGTGTGTGTGTGTGTGTGTGTGTGTGTGTGTGTGTGTGTGTGTGTGTGTGTGTGTGTGTGTGTGTGTGTGTGTGTGTGTGTGTGTGTGTGTGTGTGTGTGTGTGTGTGTGTGTGTGTGTGTGTGTGTGTGTGTGTGTGTGTGTGTGTGTGTGTGTGTGTGTGTGTGTGTGTGTGTGTGTGTGTGTGTGTGTGTGTGTGTGTGTGTGTGTGTGTGTGTGTGTGTGTGTGTGTGTGTGTGTTGAAGCAGGATGTAGGTCAGTGCTGCTAACTCATTCATGCCAGAGGTTGACAAGAAACACACTGACACAAGGTGTGTGTCTCACACACACACACACACACACACACACACACACACACACACACACACTGTAAGCATGTTGCACACACATGAATAAACATACTCACACATGGTTACACACACATTGATGCACATTTGAGCGTTTTCATTCATGACCGCTCTGTTAGTGTAACGTTAGCTCTAATGCCTTACTGTTTATTAAATCATGCTGTTATGATATTAAAATATAGAGTAGCTCCAAAACAAACATCTCAGTTGATGCCCAAAATAAACATAGTAATAAAAGTGGAATGTAGTTCCTTTATAGCAAAGAAACTAACTGTGCACTCATCATAAGGACTAACTGCAAAGCTATATGGAACAAAGACCCCCATCACACATGAGGTCCGAACAAGAGTAGACGTTATACTGAGATGCACAGGAATACTAAAACCTACACACCTGGACACCTACTTAACTTGCAATAGGTAAAAGAACAAATAGCAGTGTGTCGTATAAGTATATAATATAAGTAGTGCAGATACCTGTCCTCTAACTGTGTGTCTCTGTTTGTCCCTCAGGCTGCAGATAAGGAGCGAGCGCTGGAGGAAACCAAGAGCTACACCACGCAGTCTCTGGCCAGCGTGGCGTACCTCATCAACACGCTGGCCAACAACGTGCTGCAGATGCTGGACATCCAGGCCTCGCAGCTGCGCCGCATGGAGAGCTCCATCAACCACATCTCTCAGGTCCGAATGCACCACATGCACCGCTGCATTTATACTCACTGAAACTCACCTCGTGCACAGCCAATAAGCTCTTTAGAACATCCGGGGAAGTATAACATTAAAACAACATTTACCAAGGTTCTGTCCCTGGGTTCTGCCACAAAGCCCTTCATTGATTCCTCCATGCTTAACAATGTTAGACCTATCTCCAAGCTCCCATTTCAGTTTTTAATGACTTTATGTCCATCCTGGTTTGACTTGATCTAAGCGCCGCTTTTGATAAATATCATGATATCCTTTTGAACCGTTTATAGTCCTGGGTGAGTGTCACTTGTACGGCTCTACAGTGGTTAAGGTCGTACTGACATTTCTGTGTAACGATTGGCATTGCTGTTTAGTCATTGTGGGGTACCCCAAGGCAGAGTCCTGCACGGGTCTGATTTTCAAGACCCGTGCAGGACTCTGCCCCAAGGATCTGTGCTGGGGCCACTTCTCTTCTCTGTTTACATGCTCCCTCTCGGCCACATCATCCGTAAACACAGCATCAGTGGTCATTTGTATGCAGATGACACCCCTCCCTAACACTGCCTCATCAACTGCCTCCAGGATATCAACAAGTGGATTTCACAAAACTTCCTGCAGCTAAATGCGGACAAAACTGAAGTTATGATCATAGGTCACGTTGATGCTGCCGTCACACAAACGTCTAATGGCGCGTTTCCACTACAGCGCGGAGCACGGTTTAAGAGGGCTGTGACGTCAGCGGCCCGTCTTTGGTTGCGTTTCCACTTGGCCTAGTACCGGCCGGCGGGTCCTAATTCACAGTTTTTCTGGCCTCATAAAATCGTGGGTCTAGGGCCAGAGACAACGAGGCTGAGTCGGGCTGAGTATGCTAAACTAGAGAGAGCATCGCTGGCAAGGGGGCTACAACTACAACAAGATGGACATATTTGACCGTGATTTAATTGTAATACACGTTTCAAAATGATGAAGTAACAACATACTGATACCGGTTAGTAAAAACCATGAATTAATGCTTTGACAAGTCTGCAGACAGACGGCAGGGGAAACACCTTTTAAAATGTGTGTTTTCTAAATGGAGATTGGCTAAGCTAACGCAGTATATGCTCCGACCGTCCACACTCACAACAACGGCCTACAGACATAAATAAAGCAGCGACTGTATTCACCATGACACAGGCAGTCTGTGGTTTGTACTTGTTTAACTTCTGTCTAGTTTCTGAACAGATATGAGGAGCTGTGAGCTCTGAGTGCTAACAGCTAACGGCTGTGTTGTTTTTCTGGGGTTCTCATTGAAGATGACGTCACGGCTCCGCCTACACTGCGTTACTATAGTAACTACCCCAGTTCCTAAACTGTAATGGAAATGCGCCATAAAGTGAGCCAGTCCTAACGAGGCCTAGCCATACCGAGCGAGGCCGAGCGAGGCCGTGTAGTGGAAATGCGCCATAACAGTCTTGCTTCTCTATCACAGTCTATGGGATATACAAAGGAGTCTATAACTCATCAGTGCAGAAGTCTTGGGCTCATTTTCAACCATCAACTCAGTTTAGACAAACTGTCAATTCAGAGGTTCATGCTTTCATCACGGGTCAGATCAAACTGCTGCACTGATATGATTAGTGATATACTATTCATAGATAGAGATGAGGGTTATACCATGAATGGAATCAGACTCCAGTGATGGTTGTTTCAGACTCAGGGATCCACATATTAACTTATTAAAGTTATATTTATATACTTACTGTATTAAAAGCCTCCATCTGGGAGACGAAGAAGAGACTCTTCTTCGTGTTTATATCAGCCGGTGGGAGAAACAAAAGCGTCTGTAGGTGTGAAGCATGAGTCTTACACAACACTCTGCACCCACACACACACCCACGCACACGCACACACACGCACACGCACACACACACACACGCACACACACGCACACACACACGCACACACACGCACACACACGCACACACACACACACACACCCACGCACACACGCACACACACACACACACGCACACGCACACGCACACACGCACACGCACGTACACACACACACACACACGCACACGCACGCTCTCACACACACACGCACACACACACACACACGCACATGTATTCATGACTAATCTTATACTCAGAACCCTTAGAATGCTTCATTACGATGCATTCCTTAAAACCACACATTATCATTCAGCACATGAACACTAACATTAACTGATTGTATTTAAAGAGTTCCTGTTCTGCTGTTTGTGATATTCCCTCTCCTCTAGTGACACACACATGAGGATGCTCTGCTTATGGCCTTATTAAGACATATTTCACTAAAGTATTTCCATTTTATGCTACTCTATACTTCTACTCCATTTTAGAACCAAATATTGTTCTTTATAACCCACTGCAGGTATGTATTACTTATAGCTATTAGATACTGTTTCAGATATAAATACACACCATCCTGATACGATGCTCATACTTGTAATACTTCTGTACTTCATCAAAAAAACACACAGTTTCACTTGTAACGTATTATTTTTAGACTTTAACTTCAGTGAAGGATCCTCTCAGTGCACGCTCTGTAAAGATTCATTATGTATCACCAGCTGCAGGAGAAGCTGTGTTTCCATTAGACATGGACACAAAGAGTACTTGAAGGAATACGAGTTGTCGGCGCTGCAGGCTTCTGAAATGATAAGGAGATGCTCCTCTGTGCATCATCACAGCTCTCAGTCTGTAGGCCAGTCTCTCTCAGATGTACTCCCGTCTGCATCCCAGAGCCAACAAGAGGTGTTCGTGCGTCCAAGCCATCTCACTCTGCTTCCTTCTAACGTGCCATTTCTTACGGAGGAATTCAAGCTTGATATTTAATCTGAATTACAGACAACTGAAACAATTCAACCTTCTGAAGGACGAGTGTTTTATAACTGCTTTCTAACCCACTTTCATTTTAAAGGTCACCTGTTATTTAAAATCCACTTCTTCATGTCTCTTCTTCATCAACATGTGTCCCCTCTTCTTCATGTCTCTTCTACATCAACATGTGTCCCCTCTTCTTCATGTCTCTTCTACATCAACATGTGTCCCCTCTTCTTCATGTCTCTTTCTTCATCAACATGTGTCCCCTCTTCTTCACGTCTCTTCTACATCAACATGTGTCCCCCTCTTCTTCATGTCTCTTCTACATCAACATGTGTCCCCTCTTCTTCATGTCTCTTCTACATCAACATGTGTCCCCTCTTCTTCATGTCTCTTCTACATCAACATGTGTCCCCTCTTCTTCATGTCTCTTCTACATCAACATGTGTCCCCTCTTCTTCATGTCTCTTCTACATCAACATGTGTCCCCTCTTCTTCATGTCTCTTCTACATCAACATGTGTCCCCTCTTCTTCATGTCTCTTCTACATCAACATGTGTCCCCTCTTCTTCATGTCTCTTCTACATCAACATGTGTCCCCTCTTCTTCATGTCTCTTCTACATCAACATGTGTCCCCTCTTCTTCATGTCTCTTCTACATCAACATGTGTCCCCTCTTCTTCATGTCTCTTCTTACATCAACATGTGTCCCCTCTTCTTCATGTCTCTTCTACATCAACATGTGTCCCCTCTTCTTCATGTCTCTTCTACATCAACATGTGTCCCCTCTTCTTCATGTCTCTTCTACATCAACATGTGTCCCCTCTTCTTCATGTCTCTTTCTTACATCAACATGTGTCCCCTCTTCTTCATGTCTCTTCTACATCAACATGTGTCCCCTCTTCTTCATGTCTCTTCTACATCAACATGTGTCCCCTCTTCTTCATGTCTCTTCTACATCAACATGTGTCCCCTCTTCTTCATGTCTCTTCTACATCAACATGTGTCCCCTCTTCTTCATGTCTCTTCTACATCAACATGTGTCCCCTCTTCTTCATGTCTCTTCTACATCAACATGTGTCCCCTCTTCTTCATGTCTCTTCTACATCAACATGTGTCCCCTCTTCTTCATGTCTCTTCTACATCAACATGTGTCCCCTCTTCTTCATGTCTCTTCTACATCAACATGTGTCCCCTCTTCTTCATGTCTCTTCTACATCAACATGTGTCCCCTCTTCTTCATGTCTCTTCTACATCAACATGTGTCCCCTCTTCTTCATGTCTCTTCTACATCAACATGTGTCCCCTCTTCTTCATGTCTCTTCTACATCAACATGTGTCCCCTCTTCTTCATGTCTCTTCTTCATCAACATGTGTCCCCTCTTCTTCATGTCTCTTCTACATCAACATGTGTCCCCCTCTTCTTCATGTCTCTTCTACATCAACATGTGTCCCCTCTTCTTCATGTCTCTTCTACATCAACATGTGTCCCCTCTTCTTCATGTCTCTTCTTACATCAACATGTGTCCCCTCTTCTTCATGTCTCTTCTACATCAACATGTGTCCCCTCTTCTTCATGTCTCTTCTACATCAACATGTGTCCCCTCTTCTTCATGTCTCTTCTACAATCAACATGTGTCCCCTCTTCTTCATGTCTCATTCTTCATCAACATGTGTCCCCCTCTTCTTCTGTCCTCTTCTACATCAAACATGTGTCCCCTCTTCTTCATGTCTCTTCTAACATCAACATGTGTCCCCTCTTCTTCATGTCTCTTCTACATCCAACATGTGTCCCCTCTTCTTCATGTCTCTTCTTCATCAACATGTGTCCCCCGATTCTTTCATGTCTCTTCTACATCAACCATGTGTCCCCTCTTCTTCATGTCTCTTGCTTCCATCACCATGTGTCCCCTCCCCTTCCCCCTTTTCATGTCTCTTCTACATCAAACAGTGGCCCCTCGTCCTTCATGTCTCTTCTCCATCAACATGTGTCCCCCTCTTCTTCATTTCTCTGCTACATCAACATGTGTCCCCTCTTCTTCATGTCCTCTTCTACATCAACATGTGTCCCCCTCTTCTTCATGTCTCTTCTTCATCAACATGTGTCCCCTCTGTGTAAAGAGACTCTGAAAGTTTCAGGAACAAAGATTCTCTCTCTTTTTGATCCATTTCTATAAAAACCTGTCTGAAAATGAGCTGATCAGATTTTGGCCACTTGATGATGTCATAACGATGTTTTGTCTTGTGTAACCATTAGCCAATCAGCAACCAAGGTAACCCCCCCCCCCCCCCTTATCACCTGAATCTCCTCCTAGAGCACCATTGAGTTCTTTGTAACCAAATGTCTCTCAGAGGGGCGTGGGGAGGGGCTCCTTATTTTCATCTAAAGTAACAGACAGAGAATCAGCACTTTGGAAACAGGGCTCCACTGGATCTTTAAACAAGTCCTGAAATGCTAATTATTTTTCCATAATTAGTATCAAAAGGTTATGGGAGGTATGTTCTTTGGCGGTATATTGGAAAGTCTCAAAATAATCATTGACATTGATTCATTTTAACCAAATGCCTAACATAAATATATATATTATTAATTTACATTAACTGCATAATTAAATTAATAATTTATTGCACATTATTATTGTTTATGTATATATTAATACCTTTGTTTTTATTTTCATTTCTTTATTGCACATTCTTACTTTAACTTCCTACATTTATATAAAAAGCCATATTTTTATTCAATTTCTTCTTGTTTTTATGGATCTTTCCTGGTGGGTGAAATGAATCTTAAAGTGTTTTCCTCGTTGCGAACCTTTAACCCAGCTGGCCCTGATTATAATGCTCCACTGAAGATGTTTAACACTCAACAGGTGTTCATGCATCTCAATGAGCACAACACTCTCTAATATCTGCAGCGTGAGGAGCGTGTGAAGATAACTCTCGCAGTGCTCACGTTTTCAGACCGTTACTCAGAGGGTCTTTTAGAGAGATTTATAAATAGATATAGAAAACATTAAAGGTGGGGTACGTAATTCACTTCAGAAACACTTGTTATATTCCATGGAATGCTCTTAACATCCCGATAGCAATGAATATCTGAAGTGCTTTGACAAAAAATCCATAAATAAATATCATCTGTGGAAGCTGTAGTTCTGTAAAAAGCACGACCAATCATCTGAGCCGGCCCGGCTAAAGTAACTGGATGGCCTACCTGCCTGTCAGCCTTCCATCTGTGCACAAACTTATCTGGTGCCCTCATTGGTCATGTGTGCGTTCGTGTGTGTTGGAGGAGGGGCTCGGTGAGGAAGTGGCAGATTTTCTCCGGTTGTGTATTTTCAAATTCTAGCGATCTCGAGCCGGTTTCTCAAACTTACCTACCCCACCTTTGAGTAATGATTCTAATCTTGGTGTCGCTTCATAAGCTTTTATTAAGAAGGGGAATCAGAGGGTTTATAAAACAGTCAGAAAGCACCAAATAGTGTTTTCTACACAACATGTTTATTTATTTTACTTTATTTATTATTTTTATTTGACAGGGACAATGTTGTGCTGCTGTTTAAGACAGGAAATAGAAAAATGTTCTGAAAGAAAGTTAAAAATTCTGAGAAAAAGTTAAAATTCAGAAAACAAGTAAAAAAATTGAGAAAAAGTGTAAACTCTGAAAAATAAATTCTGAGAGATATTTTATTCGTGACAATGCTGTGCTGCTGTTTTAGACAGAACATTTAAAATGGTTCAGGTTAGATTCTCTAAAAGAGTTTGAACACCTTTTGAAATTCTGACAAAAGTCACAATTCTGAGAAAACTAAAACTCCAGATTTCTTTTTGGGAGAAAAGTCACATTTCTGAGGAAAAGTCGTAATTCTGCAATAATCAACCCAGTCTCACGGCATTTCGTGTAATAGTCACGAAATAAATGTAATCTATTGATTCGTGTTCACCAACACGATTTCCCCCTTTTTTCCGTGTCACAGAGAACGATTTAAAAAGCAATGTATTTCTATTGGTAGTAGGGCTGTGCAATTAATCGTATTTTAATCTCGATTACGATTTTGGCTTGCAACGATTACGAAAACAACGTAATCGAAATAAAACGATTATTATTTTTATAAAAAAAAAAAAATGTAATTATTTATTTCTTTTTTTTCTTTTTTTTCTTGCTTTTTCAGTTGAATTATAATTAAAGTTCAGGGTAATCAACTGTTAAAAACATACTGTTCACATTTTTGTTTCAATAAATGGATGTTTTCAAAGTAAATGGATAATTGTTTTTAATAATCGTGATATCAATTATTGACCAAAATAATCGTGATTAGGATTTTTGCCATCGCACAGCCCTAATTGGTAGTATGTTTCGTGCCTGCGTCTTTTTGTCCGGTCGGGTCTTTTTTTCCTTCTAATTTGTTATTAGTGGCTGCAGGCACGAAACACACTACCAATAGAAATACATTGCTTTTAAAATCGTTCTGTGTGACATGAAAAAAATGGGAATATCGTGTTGGTGAGCACGAATCAATAGATTACATTCGTGACTGTAACACGAAATGCCGTGAGACTGGGTTGCATTCGGAACATTTTTCAAAATTTCTGAAAAACATTAGAATACGAATTCACGAAGAACATCCAAGTTTTATATATTTGAAGTGTGTTGTTTTAATGTAGTCTACCCTGTAGAGTGTCTTTGAGTTCCTTGAAAAGCACTCGTTACATAAATGTATTATTATTATTATTATTAAACTTGGCCCATGAGTAAAATCCATTAAATCCACTCTTACTCTCCCCATTTCCAGACGGTTGACATCCACAAAGAGAAGGTGGCTCGGCGGGAGATCGGCATCTTGACGACCAATAAGAACACGACGCGCTCTCATAAGATCGTCGCTCCGTCCAATCCGGAGAGGCCGGTGCGCTTCATCAGGAAACCCATCGACTTCAACGTGCTCGACGACATCGGGCACGGAGTCAAGGTGGGAGGAAAGCTGGGAAAACATAAAAAAATCACGTTTTTAGTGAAATAGAAAACAGTCCAGTAAGTAGTGACATACAGAGCCCAGATTCATACAGGAGCGATTGCTGATGTTTTGCAGCCTTTAGAACATCAGTAGAATTGATATTTGTTAAGTATTTGTAAAGGTAACACTAAGGCAGGTTTTCACCATCTAAGATACGCTATTCAATAAGGTGAACTACCACAGCACACAGTGTGAACAAATATATATATGTTGACCGTGAAAGAAAGTCTCTAAGACTATCTGACAAATAAAAAGCACCATTGTGTTTTTTTAAACCAATCATCTCTCAGAGGGGCGTGGCCAGCAGCAGCTCATTAGCATTTCAAGTAACAGACATGGGGTGTTTCTCAATGTCGAGTAAAGCTGCTTCAGAGCCACTATTTCAAGCATGCTACGTCATCGAGTGCCGCCGAATGACTGTTCCAATTCAGCCAATCAGAGACAGGCTCTGGATATATCTGAGACCTCTGATATATTGATGAAGACGAGGATAACAGGGGACCTTTAACATGTTGTTATAAACCTAGATCTAATGAACAAGGATTGAATCAATTACATTTGAGACCTTGTTCTAAACCCTGACTGTACTCTCTCTCTC